TTCTGAAAGAGTATTTATTAATAGGCAGTTGTGTGTGTGAGTCACCTCAACCTACATGACATTTAGCGCCGTAAATTGGCAGACAGCTGGTATCATTGATTTCAAATCCAGAGTTATTATACGAGGAATATCCCTAAAAATAGTTATTTCTTTTTTCAGTTTATATTTTGTGTTTGTATGCTTTTGGTACACTGGATCGTAAAGAAAAAGGGTCTTCGAACGGCCAGTGCTATAAAAAAAAACTGTTTGAAAAAAGGGTTTTAGTCGAAACCCGATTTGTTTTTTCTGAAAAAACAAAATTCATGATGACGAAATTGCAGTGAGAAACTATACATGTAGTTGTTTACTTTGAAATGAATGAGTAGTATGAGTACCTATAAAAATTAATATTTAGATCTAAAAACACACTTTTAATTACTGCACCAAGAGGCCAAATATCCTCCCGACTCCATCATCAGCACCCTGGTCATCATCTAACACTAAAGTGCTCGAAAATACAAATCCAATGAATCCAAACTCGATGCGATTCCGCCGTTTCGTTTAGGAGTTCCTATGGCCACCTTCCAGTCCCATCATCAGACCAGCTCGATGGTAACTACCATAATATGTATTGTATTATTATTTTGTCATCTAATCTACATAATTATGATTGCCATATGATACAAGAATTAGAAATGCGTGTACCTACCTAATTCAGATTCTTAGATTCCATTATACTTAGTTAGTTACATACACGACGACCTAATAAAAGCGTGTTTTAAAATGAGCTGTTAAAGATGTATTTAATTGCGTTTTATTACTATCCGTTCGCTTTAAGTTTGTCGCTGGCGATATGACGTCACTATAACTAACAAACTAAAATATTTTTATTAAAATATTTTTTATTTATTATTATTGATAAAAATTGTGTATTTGCGTAAAATAAGACACATTAATTGCGTTTAATCGCGGTTGCGAGAGGGGACGCGCATTCCACGGACCGGCAAACTTAGTGCGAACGGGTAATACAGTATAATTCTGGCCGAGATAATAAAAGTAGTAAGGTAAGTGGGTATTTTCTCTTATCGTAAGTTTACTTGTTATATTGGATTTAAGTAATATCACAAAGTGACCTTAGGCCATCGAGTTTGCGTCGTAAAACACTAACAGGTTTGTGATATACTCTCAAAACAACTATTTATTTTTCTTCGGTACTTTTGTTTTGTTTTTATAAATACGAGTCCTAATTAGTTCGATATTAAACGATCAAAGCAAACGTTGTGATAGGGAGGGATAGAGACATGAGATTTTTGGTTTTACAAAGGTAATAGGTACGATAGAGAATAACACAAAGTAATAAAAAAAACACCTGTAATAGGGGCATTATTTGGAGAAATTTATCAAATAACCAAAACAACACAAATTAAAATACAGGCTATTCTCAAAAATAACAGTTTATTATTACTTCTTGCCGTTCTCTGGGTATTTTATGTATTTTATTAGTATCGCCTATTATTTAGCATTATTAATGTTCTTTATTTTATCAGGATATAGGTACCTCTTAGTTTAAAAGTTATGACGTTTTCTTTACAATAAGTAATTGAAAGAAAAAAAAATAAAAAAAATCTCAGATATTTTTGGACATTTTTTCCTACGATTAAAGTAGGTCAAGTTTCACCTATTTTTATACGTGAATTACTACTTATTCTAAATGATTTATTTTTATTTGTACATTGCACAATATTTATTAGTCACCACACCAGTCACCACCATTAAAGTTTCATATTTTATTTACTAGGATTTCCCCTCGCGGTGAATGATTTTAGTAACTTAGGGAAAAAAATACAAAAATTACAACTAACGGCACTCTTTGAAAGCCTAATTAAAAATACTTACAAATAAAAATTGCAAAATTCACAAAAAATACATAAGGAAAAGATACGATTTCAGTTCGAATCAAACAGCATAGGTAGGTACAATCTTTTTGCATCTTCGCTCTTACAATAAATAGGTAGGTGTTAGTTTAGCTTGATAATGTTGTCGTCAGTACCTACGTCTTAATTATTAATACGCGCCATAAAACCTTATTTCAAAACGATAACCATAATAAGTTACGAGTGCCTTTTGTCTTTCTCGTGATTGTCACTTGTTATTTTTTTTTAAGTACCTACCGCTTCTTATCTTATGTATAGACGACAGCACGTCAACGTAAACACTGTGGTATCTTACGTAGTTGCGATAAGGGCGACTTTGCAACGAAAATGTTTTAGTCTGATGTGCTGTCGCTGTACTATGCATTTATTGATTCAATTATTCATTTAAATACTTGAGCAGTTATCTTTTATTTACAAGTACCCTTCGATTAGTTAGAGCTTCGGGAACCCCGGGATGACCAATACGACTGATTTCACTATTAGTCATCAAATAGCATTATTTACCTAAAATAAACATTTATTTCCCAGTATCTAAAGCCCTTAATAATATAAGATAGCAAGAGTTGTTGCCATTAGGGCCTTTAAACACATGCGACTTTTTGCAGCGTTGGGATGCTAAACGCGTTTATATTGCTGCAAAAGTCACTCACGGTATGTATTGTCCTTAATATTAGCAGTTCCATAAAACAGGCCATTACTTAAATACTGGTAAATGTTATTTGTAAGAGGGAATTCTAAGCAATAGACTTTTCTGCGAAAACAGGTTTCGTCGATGTCAATGCCATTGTCTACGGTGTAGTCATTATAAGCTCTGTCAATCAATAACAGTAGAAGTAAGATCTATAGGATCTAACCTATACAATTTGTAGGGGACTTCGGTTGAGTTGTTATTCGGATCACAATCAATATGCGCTCGTTATTAATGTTTGTACATAATGGACTCTACATTTAGTGACGTTCGATTTCCTTTTCTATGAGTCAATTAAAATAGTTCCTTTGATGATTCTATGAGTCAATTAAAATACCTAGTTACATGACTTAGTTAAGTTCTCCCTACAGTGTCTAATCGTAGTCAGGGAACGTGTTTCACAGTTTTGTGTTCATATGGACTCGCGACCTGAAAGTCCTACATTCGAATCCAGGCTCAAATTGAACATTCTTATTATGTTGTCAAAATCCGCAGTCTCGGAAATTGCCGGCCTGATTTTCCTATACCTACATATAAAGTGGATGATCTACTCTATTACAATCCGTGCCTAAGGGTTGCCGCACACGGGCTTCACGCCACAGTCACAAAACGCCGACACCGACATTTTTACATTACACGGGCATACCGGGGTAAACGCCCCGCCACACGAAAATATATACAAGTAGGTATGTAAATATGCAGCTGGCGGCTTTTTGTGGTTGTGGCCTTGTGGCCCAGCTCGTGACGACCCTAAAAGGCGCCATGGTGTCGGCCCCATACCGACAGACGCCTGTTCGCCCTATAAAGTCTTTACTATCAGTCGTATTAAGGACGTAAAAGTAGGTCTACAGTCCTTAATCACTTATTATTTCAGTATCAGCCACGTTTCATTAGGAAAAAAATGTCTTATTTGCGTTAGTAAATAAAATAAACGAAACCAAAACTTGCAACGATGTAGATAACAATACATCATCATCTAAGCTAAACTCATAAAAACCAGTCTTGTGTCATTTGTTTTTTGTTAATGACCACCAAATTGCGATTTATTTAAGTCAATGTCAATGATATTATTGATATACTTAAATTGCACATGAATATAAAATATGTCTGCTTTGCAGTTTGCTAAATGCGTGGTATTATAAACGATTATAACTATCCAAAATCGTTCAAAATACTACGTATTGTAATTATGTGACTCATTCACAAAGAACAGGTTAACACAAAATAGTAATGCGTAAAAAAGATTAACACAATACGTGGGGATGAGAATACCCAAGAAGTTTCGATAACACTACAAAAGATTTGGAGAAAAAAGTTAGCCAACGTTGGTTGCGTACATTTTTTTAAGACATTCCAAGGGTTTGTAGAATAAAGGAACCTTACACTAACCTTTAAAAGGTCTTTTGCCATGTAGAATTGTCTTCTAGTCAACCCTCCCAGAGCAAACAGAAAATAGAGTGGGCTTAGGAGTTTTAAGGTAAGATTAAATACTGCGTTACAATAGCCCATAAATATAATTAATGAGTAATGGAGATAAAGTTTAAATAAAAGTTATTTTAATAAAGCATATCTCAGTACCTAGGTAATTGCATATACAACAAAAGATAAGTTGGACGTAACTTTTTAATTGTTGTAAATAGTAGGTACTAATTATTTATTTACCGAACGTGGAGCACGTATTGAAACAAGACTATCATTACATTACTAAAAACGAATTCAGAATAAGTAGGTAGTACTTATGCAAATTATGCAGGTAGGTTGGAATTTATTTACGCGTTGCGTAAATTCGAGCTGATATGATATAGCTATTAAGCTATAGTCATTAGAAACTACTTAAACAATAGGTTTAGCAGGAAAAATTGTCGTCTAGTTTAATAACTAAGGTACTTATTTAACTATCAGTGATTCAACGGTTAAACAAAACCTGTGTAATATTTTTTTTATTCGAAACAAAGTAGGACTGGTATTTAAAACTGCAAGCTGGGAAAAACTGATATTAATAAATCGAATTTTGATTACAGTTTTGGCAACTCTTACAATTTACGAGTTCATTCTCATTTCTTTCGAAAATACCAACGAAACGTTAACAAAATGGCGGACCCAAGTGCGTGCTAAACTAACTAAAGTTCTGTGCAATCTCAGTAAAAATAAGCAAGCTATCCAAATAATTCTAAAAGATGTTAAATATTTTTTATTGTATTATTAAAAATCCGTAAAAACCTACTTCTCAACAAGTGCGTAAAATACCGGCCGGCGCGGCGCGATGTGAAAACGAAAGTTTACAAATAAACATTATTGCGTTACGCGCGCAGATATAAATTTACATAAAACAGGCTGCGTCTAAAAATAATCGTTTAAATAAAGCGATACCCTAGAAAATTATAAAAAACTATACTTACATTTCAGTAGTTTTAAAATAAAGATGACACAACGAGACGTTTGCCACTCGACAACAGCCCGACACAACTGACCGACTGCGAGAACTTTGTAGACGACGAGCGCTCTCCGGTTCGCAGACGCGCGTTTAATCTTCCTGCGTGCCTGACGTATTTTTTTGTGAATTCCCAACCAAAGCTAGCATCAAGAACCGGTTGGCGGGCTAGTATTGTTTTGACGAATGCAAAACATCGAGTAACCTTCAGACTATGAATGCATAGTTAGCTCATGCATGCAGGTTTGATCAGAATGAAAATAAAAACACCTAGATTACTTATTTGTAGCGTTTTCGTAACTAAATAAATATGTATTAAGTCTGCAACATAAGATTATATTCATTGTAAAAAGTTGTTTACCTACTTTGTCTACTTATTTTAAAGTAGCGCTTACAGTGTTTATTAATTTTGTCTAACTACTATAGGAAATAGGGTTTCCTTGCAAGTTAAAAAGTTGCCACATCACCAGTAGTACGAGTATGTTGTCTTTTAGTCATCTTTATAATTTCGCATAAAAGTTTGAGTTGTTGATACTAAATCTAAACTTTTTTGTCGTATTTATGTTATTTATTTATTTAGGTAAGTAAGTAAAGCAACAGAATACAAATTAGTATTTACGAAAATGTTCTTTTTTGTAGTTGCATTTAGGTATACATAACTGAGGTAAGTAATTAATTATCTTTGCTCTAGTAGCAGGACCGACTGTCTCATACCCGGGTTCAACCCACAGTTGAGGCACAGTATATAATAGGTACTTACTAGGCAACATTTTCTGTTTGGTTTGTTGGTTGGTGGTAAGGCTTGTTCCAAGTCAACCTGGCTAGCTGCAACCGTGTCTTAACTTAAGTATGACCCCATAAAAGAAAATAAACAGCATTATTGTATTTCGGCAGTTGGAGGAAAGAATGCCAGTTTCTCTGTGATTGAAGTTCGAATAAAGCTTGCTTCCAACTTTGGTCTTCTTTCTTCATCACTTCCAAATCGTCGTTGACGAGTGAAAACCTCGTAAGTCTATTTTTTACCAAAAACACTTTAACGCACATTTCGAGGTCACCTATATTATATTTGAATGGCATGATTGTAGTGCCATCTATCGCGTTCAATGAAAACCTCGAGAGTACTCTGTGTCTGGTGTTTTTCGTCTCTCCTGAACAAAATTGTTTTCACTACTCCCGAGGTTTTCACTTTTCATTCGTCATCGACGAAATAGGGATCCACCACGCTCACCACGCTACGAATTTAACTAGTTTATTTATTTAATTTAGGCAGTGCATCTTCGTATGTTTTTTATTGGCCTGCGTAGGTATTATGACGAACAAAACGAAAATGAACAGAACAAATCTCATAATTGCGGAGTTAAGATTAAAATCAATAGAAATAATAATTACATTTATCTTTCGCTCCCTTCAAGTAGGTAGGTAGGTACCTAGCAGCCAAGCGAGACACAAAAGAAATCAATTGTTAGCGTGGTGTTATTATGGATAACTTAGGCTGGGTTACACCATTTTATTTTAACTTTTACAAATGTCGAAAATCTGTCAAACTCCATACAAAAAACACCGGTCATTATCATAGTTACTTACGGTTAAAATAAGTTGGTGCAACTCAGCCTTAGGATTCGACGAGTTAACATACGACTAACATAATAAAATAAGAGTTTTCAAATACAAAGTTTCAAAAGTTGACATAAATTTTAATTGGCACTATTTTAATGTGAAAATCCAATGAAACCATAATCTAAAATAAGTTCTAGTGGACTCTGGTGCCATCTACGAAAAGCTTTGCTGGTGAGAGCAGGCTTTAAGGTAAAAGAAGTTGGTAATGTTTCAGAATAATTTAGAATTTTTACGTTCGTCTGTCTTCTTTCTTCTGACAAAAAATCCACGTGAGCGAAGCCGTATAAAGAAGCTTTATTCATAGCTTTACAAAACGGGATATAAAATACGCTTTTGACCTTTAGTGACGTCAAGAAATAACCAGTTGTTTTTCGCAAAACGGAATGTAGGAGCCATAAGACGAACTTTTAAAGTATTTGTTTGCGGTGTTTTCCTCATACATATAATTTTGTTGTTTATTTATGAATGGCATTATGGATCCAGCATCCGGTTTTATCTAAAATAATTAACTTTGATAATAATAGCTTCGTGTTGAAATTAGTTATGAAAGTGGCATTAATACCATAAAGCATGTTAAAGTAAAAAACTTTTTGTACGTGACTGATAAAATGTATGATACATTAAATGTTCCATTTCATGTAGGTATTTTATGTATGATGTAAATTAGAAATACCAAATAACAAAGGTCATCAATTCTGATAATTTCGCTACGTTACTTTGCGATGCGATCATGCGACGCATTGCTGATAGCGTCGCGTAATTTCCTTTCAATAGTAACGCGCTACGTTACGATGCACAGTGCTACTGTGGTACTACGGCACTACGTTAACGATGCACAGTGTTACTGTGGTACTACGGCACTACGTTACGATGCACAGTGCTACTGTGGTACTACGGCACTACGTTTACGATGCACAGTGCTACTGTGGATCGTACGTTGCGTCGGCAGCGTGGTGATACGTTGCATCTTGTTGTCTTGCGTTGTGTAGTGATACATAATAATGCTTACACAATTCCATATAAAATCTCCTAAATCACAAAATCAGTCAAAAAAATATGATGCATATTGCATAATCTTGGTGTAGTAGGTTCAGAACAGACTACTATGCCGAGAGGTCCCGGGTTCGATTTCCGGCCGGGCAGAAATTGAAATGATAGCTAGCACCTTTATCACAAGCATTTAATTGCTTACTTTGGGGCTAGATGGCGCTGTGTGAAATCGTCCAAAGATATTTATTATTTATATAAAATCTCCCAAATCTCAAAATTACTTAGTTAAAATGATTTTTAAATGTAGTCACACACAACCTACTCCGGTATAGATTAGCGTTTAAAGAAAGATGAAGCTCGGGCGGTGCTGCTTGTACGCCTACCTATGTAATATTAGAAATGCCTACTTACAGCTATTTTCATTTTACGTCTCTAAAAGTAAATGAACTTTTTTTTTCATACCGAGACTTTCTCCAAAGGTTGAGTCAGACTTATTGATCCCATAGCTAGACATTTAGACGCCTTGGGCGGCCATAGAATAATATTATACAGACGTGCAGACGAGAGATATGCGTTATGGTAAGGTTTTATACCTACGTAAAAATGTTTTAGTGGCGGACTTGATCTCGGGTGGCATTATCTACCAGAATAGAAGTAACTCTGTCTGTCTTGTTTTCACGCCTAAACCACTGAACCGATTTTGATGAAATCTGGCATAGAGATAGATTCAGTCCCGGGAAAGGACATAGGATAGTTTTTGTCCCGGTTTTTGAAAATTCCACGCGGGCGGGTAGCTAGTAATTTAACATTTATCTTATTTTAATTGAACTATGCCTACATGTTGTTCTTGAGAATAAGTCTTTAAACCTAAAGTATAGTCTATGTCCATTGTACCCTCCACCAGTACAAGCTATCCTTAATTTGGCAGCCGATAAAATATCGCTATGTAAGGGATATTACATTTATTTAGGTCCTTCACGGTCTCCTCTGCTCGGGTCCAAGTTTATACTCTTTGCCAGCCGTCGGGAGCGATGCCTGCCACCCACTGGACCACTAGAACGTACACGACTGTGTCGCCGACAGCTGGCATTCGGGGTAACAAGCATTACTAAAAAGTTCCATTACATAGGACATCGTTAGCAGGTAAGTCTGAATTAAGATTGTACGACTAAATTGTGTTGTAGGTAATAACTAATGTTCTTTGTTCTTTCTCAATCCTGTCTCATTGCAAGTGCGTGCAAGCATATGTGACATGAAACACACATATGTTGTGATTTTCCATTGATTAACATACATTTCACACTAGCCAACAAAGGCCCATTGTAATGGGTTTTCATTTACATTTACATTTACCCCCTTACTAATAAAACTTACACGCTCGTTGAACAGTGTTTTAAAGCGACGTTTAGTATGGAAATGTCATTTTAAAACAGTTTTCAACAACTGTGTAACTTTTTATTAGTAAGGAGGTTAATGTTTTGTTAATATGTTGGAAAGTCAGTATTTTTTACCTTTTCGAGGTCTTGTCTGTCGAATGAACAACTCAACGGACAAAAAGTTTTTTGCAACTAAAGCGCCATCTAATCGCGTTCGGTATTTTAAAATTTCCTTATTTCGTCCATCATCAGTTTGATTGGTCCATCATTTTTAGTTTACCTAAATGCTTGACTGAAATGTAAATTACTGAATACAATACTGTTTTAAGTGTAGTGTAACTTTATTGGCATTCGTGTTACTTACTAGTTTTCGAATGTTTATCTACAAAATGCTTTTAAATTGAGATTAATGGCAATTAGTTTAGAGCGCCAATCTGCGTTTGTTGCCTAACGCCTAAACTATGCTTAACTATTCATAATCTATGTAAACACTTAATAATTTATTCATGAAGGTCAATCGTAGTAACTTGTAGACGGTGACTCATCTTACACCCTTTCCATCAACCCCGGTCCCACGAGGGGTTAAAATTAGATTGCAAATGTAGCCTTCAAGCCGACTGAGCCATCGTTGAAGCGGGTTTTATTACACATTTATTAACTGCTCCAATGGGGAATAAAATATGTGAAATAGGTAGGTACTATTTTGCGAACACCTTGAGATAATCCAATCGATCATTATCAAATGTAGGAAGGTTTGTGGTGAAACAAAAATTGTGTGGTAATTAGCTTGATTGCTTGATCGAATTTTATAAGTTACACGTTATTTAATATGTTAAAATATAATAAACATATCTGCCAGAATCTTAGGCCCGGTTTCCTCGACTAGGCGGAGAGAGGCGGAGCGGAGATGACGTATTTCGAATACCAATCAGTTTTTCACGAAAACGGAGAGGAGATGTTTTCGAATACATTTACCAATCACATTTCGTTATTTCCACATTTCCGCTCAGCTTCGGTGGAAATTGATTAATTATTTAACGAGTGAAGAGGATAAGAAATGTTAAAAATAATTAAACTTTTATTTAGGCAAATATGTGCATGTTAATAGGGTAGGTACACCTTGTAGGATGTCTTGACACTGATTTTCAGCAGGAAGTCCTTATCGCAATTTGCACATCCCTTCCGGAAGTGCCTGGCGAACTCAATTTTCTATAAAAGACTTCGGACCGGGCGAACTTATTTTGATTTGTCGGGCGGACTCGACCGGGGCGGGCGGAATCGAGCAGGGCGGGCGGGCTTCGCGCGGTAGGGTTACCACGTTCAAAAACCGGACTGGGTCGGACATTTTACCCTAAAAGCCGGACATTCACTTATGGGTTAATCTGGCACTGCCTACATGAAACATTAGGTAGATTTATGTTAGCCAGTGTCTTATTCCAAAGTTAGCACATAAGTCCCTGCAGCCACATAAAAGCCTAAAAAAAGCCGGACAGGCCAAACGAGATAAAATTTGGCAGGACACGTCCGTAAAAAGCCAAATGTCCGACTAAAGCCAGACATCTGACAATCCTTGGCGCGCCTCATCCCCCATTGCCTTAATAAAATTCTCCCCGTACCTCGCACACCAGCTTTACGATTCGAGGACAGCAATAGGTGACAATAGACTGACAGCTGACAGCTACGCACAGCTCACATCTCCTTTCCTATACACTTTCACCGGACGACGGACAGTCAAAAAACGGATATCCTTTGTTTGTTGTCAATTTGTCGCAGGACCTTTGTCAGATGCATGTGCACACGTTCATTATAAACCATACCTCACCGCTAAATCCGGCGAAGAAATCGGGTCGTCGCGTTGTCCGGTCAAAAAAACGGATGTTTACAAGCGTAACGTGTCGGGTAACGGGTTTATTCGTCCAAGCGTCAAAGTAAAAAAATGTGACTTCTTTGTAATTTCAATAGGGGCTTTAATTTTCTAATTATTAACCTTATTATGTTTCAGATAAAATGGGACTTCCACAACTGAATTCGTGCTGCTTCTTTTTTGACCTAAAAACTGGGACGATCATATGTGGAGTCATAAATTCGGTAAGAGTTTGGACTTTGAAATTTTAATTGAGTACCTATCAGACGTCATTTATTAGCATTATTTTATTATCAATGGCACGTCTTAAAGTAAGCCATCTCATCAAAGGCCAGACCGCCCATCTCATCGCATCAACGCTCAGTCCTATCAACGATAACCCGTCTTTACCTATTTTCCTAGACCAGGCTCAGGATGCATGCTTGACGCACGATGCTCTACTTGGTTGTGGTCGACCGGTTGCGGTTTAAAGACGCAGCGGCTAGTCGGCCGTCCTCTCCCGTCCCAGAGCGTGTCTTTCCTTAAAATCGTGCCTCCTGGTATGCCGGTTTGACCGGAGCAGGCCTTGTCCTGGCTAGGTGAGCACTATCGTATCGTATCGTGTCGTATGGCACGTCTTAAAGTAAGCCATTGCTATTGTTTAGCTTGTTCCTAACGAGTCACACAGTCACACTCAAACGAGTAACATGTTATGGTTCAGCCAAACCAACGCGATCAGCCCGCGTGCGCGATGGCGATGCAAAGATGGCGATGCTGGATGGGAAAAAAATCTGAATGTATCAAACAAGGCTGTATGTTTCTTTAATGAAGATACAGTGGACCCCCGGTAGTCCGGCCCCTGTCTGATCCGGCGCCCCCTGTAATCCGACATGGTCTATTATTTATTATTGAATACGTATTCACTAAGCATGAAAAGTTATTGCATATTTTTTGTAAGTTCTATAGCATTAATGACGTTAATTTTATAATAAAACGTAAGCTCTCTGTTGTTGTTTAATTTACTAAATTTGACATACATAATGAAGTATAATTAGTAGGTATTTCAGAGTACATAATATGTACATATGTATGTATAAAGAATCTTATCATTGGATCTGTAATTTGTCGGATTACAAGGTACTCTTTTGTAAAAAAAATCCGGACTATAGGGGGTCTTAGGCAGTACTCTATAATCCGACGAATTCGATAGTTCGACACTGCCCTGCAAAATGTTTGTCGGACTACCGGGGGTCCACTGTAAATAAAAAAAATCTGTACCGATTACAAAAAAAAAAAAAATTGTTGGATAGCCCATTTACCGAAGGCTTTAGGCTATAAGTATAAACATCACCCTAAAGCCAATAGGGGCGGAGCAGTAAAAGTAAATGTTGCAAAAACGGAAAATATTAACTATTTTCACGCGTACGAAGTCGCGGGCACAGCTTGTAGTAAGATAATCGCGCTTAAAAGCTCATTGACACATAAATATCACTGTGAGCTAAGAAAGAACACACTTCAAAACAACTAATAAGTATTTTTTACAGATTCTATCCTTCATTATGTTGGTCGCCTTGATAGTGACTGCTGCGATTTTCGGAAGCCTGCAGAGCAACGAAGAAATTAAAAACGACCCGGATGCTGAAGCGTACATGACCGGTCTATACGTCATATCGATCATACTGGTCCTCATGTACTTGGTCAAGTTCCTCTCTGATTTGGTGTTCGTCTATGGCGTTTTGAGGGTATGTTGTCTATCTATTGTCACCGATGTTTGTAAAGACAGTTGATCTGCTTTCTTAAGGTTCGCCCAAACCAACGCGATCACACGTGATCAGCCGGCGTGCAGCGATGGCGACTAGACTCAGGTGGTCCGCCTCGGGTGCCAAGCATCAGGGGGTGACAACAGTCGCGTGCATCTGCATGGCAAGGACGGTCATGGTATGTCATGAAGTCTGATCGCCATCGCTGCACGCCGGCTGATCGCGTGTGATCGCGTTGGCTTGGCTGAACCTTTAAATGCATTGATCGCCATCGCTGCACGTCGGCTGATCGCGTGTGATCGCGTTGGTTTGGCCGAACCTTTAAAGGTTTGACAAAACCAACGCGTGCAGCCCGCGTGCGCGATGACTATGGCGATGGCGATTAGACGTAATTGCATTGATAGCAATGATCATCAGTAATGGTTAAGTAGACCCGGAGGTTGTCTTGAATATAACAAAAGATACATACCTACATAGAAGAAGTAACTACAATTGAAAGCTACAGTTACTTATTCGTAGTTACATACGACTTTGGTTGGTAGGTAGTTAACTGGAGGTAACGCCTTCAAATATGTTTCATTCGTATTCGGATATGCCCGTGTCTGTGACAAATAAAGCGCTTGCCTATTAGTATATTATGTCAGGCGCTACAAAACCATTTAGGTAGGTTACTTGGCATTGTAGGATTATGTATTTTCGGAGTATCAGTAGTTCATGTGTATTATTTATTAATTTGTGACAATTTAAAAGCATAATTTTCCATGGAGAAGGTTTGTAAAATATTGAAGTTATAATATGATTACATGACCAACCCTGCACTGCTATAGTTATATGTATACCTAACCCCCATATTGATCAATGACCACCATATTCTAGATTTGGTTTATAGCCAGACATTTACCTCCAAATGTCTGGAAAGCCATATAAAATGACCTCACCAAGCAAACTTCCAGCCAATTATTTCGAACCAATTAAGATTTTCGTAGTCGCGACGGCGCCGCGTGGGCTTCTTTGAAAAAAAGTTAGCCCGAATGATTGATTTTAGGAGTTGTTTACTTTGATAGCCATAAACGCAGTGGACAGACATAACTATATTACTATACATATGTAGGTATGTATGTATAATGCCTAAAATGTCTTTTGCAAAAATTCGCTTGGCGGATTTTGACGTGGGTGTAGATGTGGTTTCATTAATTAGTACCTACCTATTGTTATAGGCTGGATATTTAGCCTTAGACTACAGACTTTGGTATCGGCCGATTATTCATACAAATTAGAATCGGACCCAAATAATAATACAGGGTGTTTGGCGCATCGTGTGCCAAAATGATTTGGCGGATAGAATGGGTCATTTCCTACATTTTCAGCCCCCATAACACGTTCCATACCAGGCGGCTACTTTTAAATTATTTTTTTTAGTAATTTCACCAAAATACCCAAATCGCATCATTTAATTTCGATTTAAAAAAAACTACTAGGCGCAGCCCTAAAGTAAATATTTTGTTTTGACGTGCATTAGTGTAGGGTTGCATCAAATTTAAATTTATTGGCAAATATCATCTAGTTTTTTTAAAATTCAGCTTTGAAGTTTTCCGAAAAGTTAAAAATGGACTGAACATTTAAGTTTACAAGGGTATAATTTTTTTTTTAAAAGAGATAGCGATCTTCGGATTTTATCAAAACTTCTCTAGTCTATCCTCATTCAAACGGTATACTAATCTTGTTTAAATAATAACAACAACTTCACAAATTCCTTAAATTAGTGCATTGACTGTACTCGGACTGATTTGCGAAATTTGTGTTTATAGCTCCTTTTTGTGTGAATTTAGCACGTGGAACACTTAAAAGGTAAAAATTATTTATCTTATGCAATGTAAAAACCTTTTCCCTATCGTTTTTCAATGTGGATTTCTTGAAATTAAAGACGAAAATAATTATTTTGATCGTTTATTAATTATTACAAATTTTGTTCAAAATGTCCGCCTCGGCAACGTATACAATCAAGACATCTTCTTCTAATTTCGACTGTTGTCGTATGCAGCCACATTTCTCTTTTTATTACTATTAAGGCGTTTTCTATTCGTTGTAGTTTTTCTATTGTTTGAATCCGTTACGTACACCAGTTCTTTAGCTTGTCCCCAGACGTAAAAATCGAACGGAGTTAGGTCTGGGGAACGTGTAGGCCACTGTATAGGGCCATCTCTTCCAATCCACGAGTAGAAAACGCCTTTGTAGTANATGCGCCAAACACCCTGTATAGTTTTAGAGTACCTAGATTTTTGTTGATTTGGTTTAAAATATTGAAGGTGGGCCCAGTCACTTGAAGAAAATGTATTTGAAAATTCAAACCATTGACTTGGCCCGTGAACCAAGCTAAAAGTGGGCCAAGTTACTGGAATATACTCATTTACGTTTTATTTTGAAACCTTTACAGGAAAATACAGGCATCATCAAAGCGTACCTGATCGTATGGCTTGTGTTCTTCCTGCTGTCAACCTTCCTGTTCTTCCTACACATCGCGGATTTCCACGCAGCTACTATCGTTACGGAAATAATTTACACGGGTGAGTTGTCTTATAGATTAATAAAGCCTAGATATACAATAGATAAATAAGCGCTAGAAAAGTGAGGCAACTCAAGTGAGCCAGAATGGTCCACCAAAAATCCGAAAATAATATTTTTAACACAGAATAGTTCGGGCTTTTACCATTACTGCTGATAAATCTTAGATTAGCTTACAATAATGGGCATTGACAGTAACGTCTGTATCTTTTTCAGGACTGAATCTGTACGCATTGCTCTTGGCCAACAGTTTCTACAAACAGCTCAACTGTCGAGAAGAACTGTAGATTATTGTACGGATAATGAACCAAAAATGACAACACAGTTTATGCCTAGGCTGTTCATTTATACCGGATACATAGTTGAAAAATTTTTGGGGTTTGGATGAAAAAATGTTTACCAATATTCTTTGTTCCTATTCTTATTTTCACTGAAAATAAAGCTCAAAAGTGTACTCTACTATAAAACGAAAAATCTAAAAATAATTTAACCTACCACGAAATTGACACATTCGTCAAAACTGGTAGAATAAAGTTTAAAACTTTTAAAATACCTACCGTTTTACTAAACGTTTAATGAGTTAAGTGATAGAAGTGAACATTACCCTTAATCAAAATCACAGATTTTGGGTTAAGAACTAAGATGTTTAAGAAAGGTGTTTAAAAAAGAGAAGCTAGTTGCTATTGGCCTAATACTTAGTACATTATGAAGCATTACTTAGACACTTCGTAAATTAATATTTACCTTTGTTAAGTTGTTTGATCATGGCCAGTATATTTGTGATGTTAAAGAAAATTGCATGTAATTTTTAGTAAAATATATTTATAAAAACCTATTTACACAAGTACCTTAATAATTAACGATACTGATTATTAGATTCACACGAAATTAGTCAAAAGCTTTGAGGTTAATTTTAATTTAAATACACTCAAAAAGTGAATATTTTTTTATTTTACAACAGTGTTTTTATAATTAATTTAAGTATAGACAATTAGACATTTTAGTGACATTCCGTGTGAATCTAAATTGTCAATTATTACGATTTAAGTATAGGTAAAAGACGTAATTTAACATAATATGCTTATTTTATAGACAACATACCTACCTACAATTTTTTATTACATTTTACTGTGGTTATGTGGTATCATTTATGTTCCTGTGTTATCATTATGAATTTAATTAGCTGATACGAATATGAACATACATTTCACAAAGTAAAATTTTCTTATTACGTTTACTTCATCTTAATGGATTTATTAAATGGTTTATAACAGAATGCAGGAACAAGAACATAAATTGTTATTAAATTTTTTAAGCGTTAAAAGTTGCATCTCAAATCTCAAACCAAATTATAAATAACTTGAAAAAATTTAACTGCGGCGGGAAGCGAACCCACGATTTAAGGGTAGGTTAGTACCTAACTAGCCTAACCTTCCCTTAAATTGTACCTTTAAAATCGTTGGGTAGGTAGTCCCAACATTGATGAAACAATCGCTGATCGTAACAGCGTATTATACCTACACTTAAATCCAGTGTCTATTAGCTCAAATCGAAGAGCGAGCAGTCGCCCGAGCGAAAGGTCGGGGGTTCGATTCCCGGCTTAGGCAGTTCGACATTTTCTAGTTATTTATAATTTAGTTTAAGGAGCATAATATATATGTAATAGGAGGCATTTTCTTGCATTTTCCGTATTAATATCACCCAAAATATAGTTATTTTAACCATTTACTATTGTCCTAATAAATAACAAGTGACAACTAAATATTCTATCCTTAATAATTACAATAAATGACGTAGTTATTTAATAATTTGTGCCAGCATACCTTTTACTTCAATTTAGGTTTTAAGGAAAATCTACATTTTTAGTCAACCAACATGTTAGCAACCGGATTTGTACGAGTGTTTTATATTATGGAAATCGATTGGTTTTATTGGATTTAACCAAGTTTATCTAATAGTCACGCAAGTGTCATACTAAAATGTTTGTTATTATTACTTTGGTACCAGCTGATTCTTTCTACAAATTGGTAGACGACCAAAATATCGGCCGACTAAAAGTCCGTAGTATTCGGGGTGTGTAAGATAAATGGATATAACACTGGTAAACAATCTTCTGTGAAGCGAGAGACCATGTTTCGATTCCCACCTTAGGATGCGTTTTCGCCAGAGATTTGCGAGGATGGAGTTCTCGCGACCCCTAATCTTCTTTTGGCGAAATTCGTCAATCTTCGGCTTTATTCTGCGAGTGATGTGTTTGTAAAGAACCAATAGAATCTCTTCCTTTACCGAAACTTCTATTGGTTCTTTACAAACACATACATCCCTCGCTACGCATCCTCGCACATTTCTGGTGGAAACGCAGCCTTATGCAGTCGATTTGATCAAGACCAACATCATGTTCTACTCAAATTCTTATGTCACTAGACTGCTTGTGTACCTTATAATCTACGTATAATTAAATTACTGTTAATTTTGTTGTAATATTAACGTGCTCGTGTAAAGTTGAATAAATAACCAACTTAGTTATATTTGAGTCTTCCAGCGACGTACCACTTTTAGTTTGGACCACGAGCCAAGTTTTGAATTTTTAAATATTTTTTCTATAAAAATCTACCATAGAATCTTAGAGTGAGCCCAGATGCCGGAAGAAAAAATATTTAAAATTTCAATCAGATGACTTGGCATTTGGACCAACTTATAAAGGGACCAAATCGTTGGAAAACTCATTACATTTACATGGACATGTAAATAAATATTTATATAATACATGTTACAAATGTATGTCTGTTTATGCCACTAGGTAATGTATTGTATACCTACTTGTCTGTTATTTCAAATAAAATAAACGAATGACAAAATGTTTTTCTCGTATAATGCTAAATAGGTAACCTACAGTTACTTATTTCAAAAACATAACATGACACCTACATATCACTTGAAAATAATAATAGGGGTAAATCATTATTTATTTCAATTTCATTATTATATTAAGCCCATATTTTCTTCAATGATAATATTCGGTTTTTTGGTTTTATACTTTGGTCAGCAGTAAATGCAAATTTCAATTAAATTCACCACTAGGGGAACCTGTTGTACTTAGGCCAGTTTTTAGAATTTAGATTTTTTGAAAAATAATGGTGATAGTTAAACTTGTCTAGTGCAGTTATATTTAAAGATCATTTAATTAACTACATAATTCATTCATAAAATTGTGTATAATTTTGAAAATTTGGGCATACTAGCTGCTAGAAAAAAAAAGGGAAAACTGTCCTAGGTACAACAAACCAGATGTACCTTGGACCGTGTACGTTGTACCTATTTAAATTTAAACAAATGCTTATATTCGCTTCAATATGTTAATTTTCTGTTAAATTATTATTTGAAATACCAATTATTACAGTTATTAGCAACAATATCTAAGTAAAAGTATTTTTTAAAAAAGATCCTCATCCATATTTTTTGTACTAATTATTTTTCACAATTTTTTGGCAACAAATCACTTAAGTTTAAGCTGGCTCTCCAGTCCATGTTTAGCCTTACACAATGAACAAAAATATAACAATATTCAACATTTTTTCTAGAAAATTTTGTTGAATGTTGTTATGTTATGTCGTGTAGGACAAAATACGCGCTGGAGTGGCTTTAACTTGCAATCTAGTTTTTTTATTTCTTATCATTTAACATAAATTCTAGCAAAATATCCATTAAAACCGCTTTATCAACAAAAATAATGTTAAAAAAGTCATATGAAGATACATTTAACGTAAATTTAAAAAACATTAGAAATTAAAAAAATATATATCAAAAACAGACTTTAAATTGCTATTTGAAGGTCTTCGGGGCATTGTTTCTATAACAGTATAATATGTTTTTTTTATTACAATAAAATTCTCATTAAAACGTAATGAAAATCAGTGACCAAGGTACATCGCTAGATGGGTGGTCAAGGTACAACATTATGACTACTTCACATAATAAGCATAATAAACCCACTTCCATTTGAGCTTAGGATCTGAAACTCATATTGTCCAGTAGATAGATATTAAAGATTATGTTCTAATTACAACCGTTTTGTCAAACATGCAACATTTTTCATAAATTGACATGAAGTAAACCTCCAAAATCTCACTGCGTCAGTGTAAAATATTAAATTACCATTTTTTCTTGTACTTGCACAGCGTCGGCGAATCTTAGCTAACTTCACGTTAATGTTGACAAATAACGTATGTAATACCCTAGACAACTTTTCATAAAACCGCATAATTTAAAAAATATATACAATTGTTTTAGGTACAACTCTGTCCAAGGTTCAACAGGTTCCCCTATACATGCCTACGGCTCATTCACTTTTGCTAGTTTGAAGTTTATTTTAAATTTTCTGCAGCTCGTTCCAAATGGGCTGTAGGCTTGTAGTCCGACTTGGTGAATTACTAAAAATACTTCGAGTTTATTCACATAAAATAACAAAGCCTCATTTGAATTCACTTAGGTTCTATTGTTATATGGCACTTAATTGTAACTTTTCAATGTTTAAATAAAAACCCTAAAGTCTTATGCTGAGTTGCACCATCTTACTTTAACTTTGACAAACGTCAAAAATCTGTCAAACTCCGTACAAAAAACACCGGTCATCGTCAAAGTTAGGTGGTGCAACTCAGCCTTAGACTGTGTTGCATCATCAAACGATAAAAGTCTGTCAAACTACTTACAAACAACACAAAGTGTGCAAAGTGCTTATTATTTGTGTGAAATGTTAGGTTTAGTTCCGATGTTGATTAAGAGATGGGGCTGTACCTACCATTTAACTTCACGGTATCATATTTTTTTTATAAACAAGCTATTACAAACAATATTAAAGAAACCAGAGGCATTATTTCTAGTGCTTTACATTTACACTACATTAAATAAAACTTCAAGTTTCTACTGGCGCGAGCCATACACTGGTATATTATATTGTGTGCTTACCATGAGTTTACGTTAGGTGTACTCGCTAGCGACTGCGTAAAAAAATGACATTAATTAGTATGACATATTGTGCAGCGCTCCTAGCGGCTACTTTCAAGAAACAAAATCTTCATAGAGATTTTTGACGTAATCGCTAGCGAGCACACCTAACGTAAACTCATGGTAGGTACACTGTACGTGTACCCTATGTTCATTTTCTGTGGTTGTCCATACTTAGGCCCCAGTCTCTATTAGTACATCAAGGTCATCACCTCCAGATTGGTTGATCGACTGCAGAAACTCCTTGCCAGAGAGTAGAAGTTCGTAGAACGTGTTCACCACCACCAAAAAATGGATATAGATCACTGAAATAGGAAAAAACAATACCAAATAATATACTTATGTATAATATGTAAATATAAAGTGTAATGTGTAAAAAAAGTGAGTTAGGGACATGTGTTTATACTTTTATTATGTGAAAGGGTATAAAAAAGGATTCTACAGTGTTCTTACCATGAGTTTACGTTGGTTCTATATTGGCTCACATAAAA